AGAACTACTGCCATAAATAAAAAGTTGACTGTTCTGTTCATTTAAACACATGCCAGACAAATCTTGTTCTAAATAAAATAATGCATTTTTTGTATATAAGGGAAGGAGAATCTTTTACAGCTAATCTGTGACAGATTCAGATTCATTCAGGGCCCTGAAGAAGAGAGAAGCTACTTCAGATCTTCTTTAAAGTGTGCAATTGTAGACTAAGACCATTAGTATTGTGTTAGTGTGGACCAAAGCCGTCAGTGGGTTTGGTATCGGCTTATTAATTATCGACACATAAAACATTGGTTTTCTACCTAGAGCTATACCAGAAAACAAAGAAAAATGTGTAAGTAAAAAGCAAAGCTTTCTAATAATGTTTTGATATGATACAATAAGGCTAAATGCAAACATACACAAACACTATATCCTAGTTAGCAAATTGGGTTCTCAGATGGATGTGAGTTAACAAGTTTGAAACTACTTTATATGCTTACTAGGTTTGATCAAATAAATAAATATACTTTAGAAAATGAGAGTAATATAACTATTATGGAAAAATATTATATATAATAAAGGAGGGAAGACTAGAATGGTGTTGAATTAGAGTAGGAGATGCCAGTATGAACTAATTATAAATCTAAATAAATGAACCCATGTTCTGCATGGTTCCATATAAGATATATATATATATCATATATATTAGTTCTGTTTACCTAGAGAGCCTAGAAGTAGTGATACCTCAGTAGCAATCAATGCCTCTTACGCTCAGATATTTGTTTCTATAAATAACTGCCTAATAAAAGGAAAAACTTCTTAGAGGAAAGGTGGATTCCAGGGTCGGGGCAGAAAAAAATAGGAGATGAACCTACAACATATTGTAGTGCCAAAAAATAAGGTAGTGTTAAAGAAAAAAAGATAGAAAAAAAGAAAATATATCAAAAGGCACAGGGGCCAAGTTGACATAATTTGAGCAAATAATAATAATAACAATAATAAATATGAACCCAATAGTAAGATAATTGTCTTTGAACTTATATGATATAAATGAATACATCTCATTCTAAACAAAAGCATGTGTACATACATTCATACACGGAGAGAAGGGACCACTCTTCATTACAGAGAAATAATTCTAGTTAGTAAATATGGAAAGATTGAGGGAAATAGAAAATCATCATCAGAACATCACAGTAATAATTGATGCAAGCAAGATCTACCAATGAAAGCTAAGATTGATGGGTAAATTTGGGCTGCATACTCTCAAAGAAATTGTCAAAAAATAAATATTTATTAATTTCAAAGGACAATATAGTAGGTTTATAGTGGAGAAACTTGACAGACTCCAATGATCAAGAAATTAAAGTAAAAAATTACCAGTAAGAAGAGATGTTGACATCATGTGCCTTTGATAAGATTCAATCAGAAGGAAACCTTCTATCTGTGGCATTCTTCCCAAACATACATAATCTGTGTCTATTCATGAGAAATATATTAGACAAATCCAAATTGAAGGACAGTCTATAAAATAAGTGGACTGTACTTTTAAAATTCAAGGCCATTAAAGACAATAAAAGAACTGAAGAACTGTTACAGTTTGGGGTGGTTAAGGAGACATGACAACTAAATACAATGTGGGATCCTAGACTATATTTTGGAACAGAATTAGTAAAAAAAAAAAAAAAAAAAAAAAAAAATGAAATCTGAGTAAAGTCTGGAATCTATCTAATAGTATTGAACTAATGTTATCTTAGTTTTGATAGTTGTGGTATCATCATGCAAGATGTTAACATTACAGGTAGCTAAATGTAGGGCATTCAGGAACTCTTAGTACCCTGCTATAGGTCTAAAATTAACTCAAAATTGAAACTTAAATGCAGTAAAAAATACAGGAAAAGTGGAAATGACTCCCATTCCAGTTCCTTGCTAGAGGTAACCACAACTTTCATTCAAGGTGAGTCTTCATAGGCATTATAATAACTCTTATAATAATAAAGATTAATGAGACAGTGAAAAAATGGTGTCTGATTGTAAGCATCTTACAATTAGTTTAAACAACACAAAATTAGAGGATAATTACTCAGCAAAGTTGCAAAACCTTACAGTGAAAAAATGGATTTAGTATAAACAAAATGTTTTGTAAACCTGGTCATTTAGTGTCTAGCCCTTTGCCTGGTGAATCATAACCATCAGAGGAACTTCCGCTAGACCCTCCCTGCACTTTCCAGCTTTGCTGTCTCAGTTCAGTGTCTCAGGGCTTCCAATTCCCACTACCTCCTATCTGAAGCACAGCTGAACTACGTGAACTAATTTATTTGAAATCCTTCTGGGATAGATGATGAAATGCTTATTAGGAATATTTCATGTACAGAAATTTCATTATATAAATTACTTAAATTAATTAAAATTGAGAAACCTAATGACTAATGTTCAAAATCCATTAACCAATGGAGAGAGACAAATGAATTCCCATGCCTTTATATATGCTTTCCTTAATGCCGCTAGCAGTCAGTAACTTTCTTTATAAGAGTTTAATTTATCTTGGAAAAAAAAAATGACCTTTCTTTTTCAGTCTTAGGCAGAGCCCAATTTTGACTACCTTTTTCAGTGTCTCCAAGTTTAAATGATTCAGATTTTGAAAACCTACCATCTGTTAACAAATAATGTTCTCACCATGAAGGCAGTGATTATGTTTGTTTCAATTTCACAAGACAAGAAACCAAGAAAAATATAAGAATAGAAACCAGAGAAGAGCAAATCTAAAGGAAAGAAACTATATGAAATGAACAAGCATGAACAAACCATTTTTGCTGCTAGGAGATTAAGGGTAAAAGAATGTGAAGCAAAAATATGGTTAGTAGAGGCTGTCACAGATTAAGAGAGAGAGAATGTTACAAAAGGGATCTTTTATTTTCAATGGGAATTACTGGTGCATCTCAGTCAATGCGACATTAAACATAAATCTTTTGAGGCTCTAGAAATAAGGTTCTGGACAAGGTTTGACTGATCTTGGAGCATTATACACATAAAGATGACCCCTTGAGAACATAAGCAAAGAATAACAAAATATAGATGAAAGGAAATTTAATAGACTGTGTATACCCAACTATAGATAGTCTATTATGTAAAGCTTAGAGATAGTATTATTATTATTAATAATAATAATAATGCTTTTATTGGAATCAGTGTTTGTGTTGTGTTTTAAATGCCTTGTTCTCTTTTATTCCTGACACTATCTCTATTATATTGATGAGAAAACCAAAACTTTAGTGTTGTCTTTATCACCATAAAAGCTCAGCAGTATCTCCCACAAAAAATAGGCCCACCTAAGTCTTTTCTAGCATGCACGTTGTTTCTTTTGCTAAGTGTGTTCAAATTCAACTGGGCCCTTAAAAATTGGAAAAATTTTTAATTGCTACATTGTTCATTCAGAACAATAGGTGTTTCTGGGTATATACTTTGTGGGGAGCCTTGTTCTAAGCCCCATGGGTAGAGTAGTAAGAAAAGAAAAAAAAAGAACCCAAGCTTATGTTTTAGTGTGGGAAATATAAAACAAACAAGTGCATTTATAAGATAAAGTCCATAAGTGATCATTACTATGAAGATTATAAAATAAGGTGATACGAAGCAAGTGTTTGGGGGAGGAGCCCCGTTAGAAAGTGTGTCCCCAGGAGGGGTGCCTGGGTGGCTTAGTCAGTTAAGTATCCGACTTTGGGTCAGGCCATGATCTCATGGTTCATGAATTTAAGCTGCACATAGGGCTCTGTGCTGACAGCTCAGAGCCTGGAGCCTACTTCAGACTATGTCTCCCTCTCTCTGCTCCTCTCCCACTCACATTCTATCTCTCTCTCTCAAAAATAAATAAACATTTAAAAAATTAAAAAGAAAGTGTGCTCACAGGAGACCTCACTGAAAAGATTGGTTTGGACTTGGCTCGTGAAGACAGGAAGGAATCGGTAAGACAAAGATCCAATTAGAAGGACAGGATGTGCAAAAATGTTGCTGTATAAATGAGGCTGGGGTGTCTGAAAAACAGCAGTGTGGCTGGAAGGTGGCAAAAAGTAGAGGGGATATTGAAATATTTAGTTGGAGGGCCTTGAGACCGTAATAGAAATTTGAGTATCATTGTAAGAATAATGGAAAGTTTTTAGAGGATCTTAATAGAGGAGTAACATGATCTCATGTACACTTCAAAAGATCACTTTGTCTAAGGATTAGGAATGGATTGGAGAATCAGAGGGTAAGCAGGAAAAATAGGAGACTATTGAGATGATCAGTCTGAGAGATGACACATTTTGATAAAAGTTTAAAATTTTTTTTTGATGTTTATTTCTGAGAGAGAGAAAGATAGAGAGAGAGGGAGAGAGCAGGGGAGGGGCAGAGGTGGGGGGGCAAGGGGGAGACACAGAATCTGAAATGGGCTCCAGGCTCTGAGAGCCCGATGCGGGGCTCAACTCTGAATGGCAAGACACAGAATCTGAAATGGGCTCCAGGCTCTGAGAGCCCGATGCGGGGCTCAACTCTGAATGGCGAGATCCTGACCTGAGCTGAAGTCGGAGGCTTAACCGACTGAGCCACCCAAGCGCCCATCTGTTTATTAATATTCTAAAGCATGGGTGGGAAGCCCTCTATCTTGCCTCTATTTGTGACTTTGTTGTTGCTGTTGTCCTGAGTTGCAAGGTGTTGGGTTAAACATAAGGCACATTCTCAGCACACAATCATCATTGGTCTGACTTATTGGTTCGTATTCTTGTTTTTCCCATTCCCAACCCCATTCCTCTTTCTCATGGGCAGTCATTCTAATGTGTTTGACTAATGCATTGTTGAAGGTTTTGGGTGTTTTTAATAAAATATGTAATGATGTTTTGATGTGTGATTTGAATGTATTATAATTTCCACAATTGTATTATGCCTGAAATTTCATTTCATTTTTTTAACGTGCAATGTGTTTTAATGTATCCATGTTGCTATATGTTAATAGCATATTTTGTTTTCTAATTGCACCACATTAGGTGGACACAGAGATTGGTTTCTAGTCCACATCACTCTGAACAATGCTACCATGTATATCCTCACACCTGTCCCCTTATGAGTCAATATGTATTGGGAGCCGTTTCTGAGCTCATGGGTTGAAAAAGAACTTCCTATGAGGTTAAGGTAAGTTGCACAGACTCTTACAGGTCAGATATTGGCTGATATCCACCTCCCACCCAATTGTTTCTGCTTGGAGCACCGACATCCAAGGCATCTTGTGATTGGTATTTGGAGTGACTTACTCTGGCCTTGAATATGCTGACTGCACCCTGTGAAGGAACCTATTGTAGGAACTTTTTCTTTTGTGATTATGGGAGCAAACATTTGTGTTTCCTGAAAGACCTGTTTTTCTTAATGCTTCCCCTTAAACAAACAAGTTATTGACCCCTGCTCACAAACTAAACTTCACTCTTTTTATGCTAAAAACATTGTCTTGGATGCTAGATACCTTCCTTTCCCAGAGGGTAAGCATCTAAATTACCTACCTCAGTCACTATTGATAAAGGTTATGCAGGAGTCTTCTACAAATCTATGTTCTGGGAAATTCTTACATATCAAAGAAGTTTGTCACCAAAAATCATTGTCAAAGGCAAATGCCATTTCTGTACCATCCCCCAAACACTTAATTATAAAATAAAGTTGAGCCTGAGATGCCTGCCTGGTGATCAGAAAGATTCTCGGGGCTCTCTCATCCCTCCCTCACCGACACCATCCATCCTTCAGGGACCCCTGGACCTACTGGAGCTGGACTCCGGCAAATATGAGACTTGCTTTCAGCTATATACCCAGGAATGGATATACTGGGTCATAGTATATACACATATTTAATTTGAATGAGTGCTACCAGTGTCCTGTACAGAAAGGGCTCCAGTCCACACATCTGTAAGTAGTGCATGGGATTCTATAGTCACATCTCTACTAACACTTGTCATCATCCAGCTTTCTAATTTTCTGTCATAATGGTGGATGATACTTCATTTTTGTGGAAGTTTTATTTATCTGATTACTTATGTGCTTAAACATCTCTTTGTATGCTTTCTAGCTTTTTGGAGATTCCATTTCTTGAAACTGCCTGTTTATAGTCTGGCTAATTTTCTACTGGTTTCCTGTTTTATTGCTTATTAATGTGGAAAAAACAATTCCAATATTATTTCTTATATTTGGGGAATGTATTCTACTTGATCATGATGTTTTTTCATATCATTGACTTATTAATATTATTTTTAGCATTTAATATCTTAGTTTTACTAATTTTAATATTTGCATCTATATTCACAACAAAATAGAATTATAATTGTCCTGTCTTGTAATAATTTATGAAGTTTTAGAATCAAGATGAATTGGCCTTAAAAACGCACATGTCCTTTGGATTTAATGCAATCCCTATCAAAATCCCAGAAGCATTTTTTGGGTGTGTGAAAATAGAAAAATGTATACTAAAATTCATATAGAATCTCAAAAGACTCCACACAGCCAAAATCATCACAATCTTGAAAAAGAGGAACAAAGTTACAGGTCTAAATCTCCCTGATTTCAAAAATTATTACAATGCTACAGGTTAATTTTTAAGGGTAAATGATATTCTATTGTTTGTAGACATTACATTTTATCTGTTCATCTGTTGATGGATCCTTAAGTTGTTTCCACTTTTTGGCTATTACAAATAATGATGTCATAAACATAGGTGTATAAGTGTCTTTCCTAGACCTTGTTTTTAATTCCTTTGGGTATATACCCAGAAGTGAGATTGCTGCATCAATCTATTTGTAATTTTTAATTTTTAAGAAACCTCCATCCTGTTTTCCATAGTGGTGGCACTATTTTACTCCAATTAACTCCTTTCAACTATTATGTTTTTCAGATCAAATATTTCATCTTGTTTCTTTTATTGTCTCATATCTGTTTCATATAATTAATCTTTAAAACATTTTTACCTATATTGGACAGGGCTTATTTTAAATTATTGATTTAAAAATTCTACTGATTATGATCCATGTGGCATATATTATTGTTCTTCTGTAGTAGTTGTATCCCTCAAGTCTATGGATATTTGGACCTGTAAACGTGTGTTTTTTAGGGGTATCAGTTTCTCTGTCTGTTAATATGTATGTAAGACAAAGGCTGTAAACCAGGTAAATGCTGTATCCCTCCTGGTGATTCTAAGGAAGAGGAAGCGATAAGCCCTGAGATAAAGCATCAGGTCCCACAGTCTATGCCTAGGACTTCATCTTGAGATTTTTAGGAAACATATTCTCTTTGGGTGCTTAGAGGTGGAAAACAGAGAAAAGTATGTGCCCAAGGGCACTCATCTTATCCATTCACACTGGTCTTCATCACACCTCACCTCTGACGCCAGCGCCTGGGCCATTACAAGTCACGGGGCCATGGAGGCAGGAGTGGAACTTGAAAATTCCCCTTCAACCTCTGCTCTCAGTTCTGCCTCCATCCTGCAACCTGTAGGTGCATGGAAACACCACTATGATTGTCAAGACCTAGGTCTCTTGCCAGAAGAAGGGGGTGGCTGAGAGAAATACACTCAGTGCTCTCATACCAGTGAATCTTATTCTATACCAGGCTGCGTCATTTAAGCCTCTTACTTCCCTAAATGTATCTTTAATCTTCAATTATCTGAAAACAACTGATAGATTGAGTCTACTTGGAGGTTTCTAGTAACTTCTCTCTTTGATTAACTGAAGGGCTATGGGTGGCTTAAGTGAGCAAAAGAAATTGACACAGTTGTGCAGACAGCAAGAAGTAGACAGTAACATGGTGGAAGGGGTCCGAAGAGCTGTGATGAGATCACCAGCTGGTATATTTGACACTGGAGGAAACATAATTAGTGGAGTTTCTCCATCTGGTGAATATCTACATAGGTTGGGATAGAAGCAAATAATATACACACTGCAGTCAAAAATCAAATTGGGCTTCATATACTAGAACCAAATATTCTAAATGTTAATGACTTTTATCCCTAGGAGGTGGAATTATGTTTATTTCTTTTCCTTATATTCCTAAAACATTATGAATTTCCTAAATGCTCACCACGAGCCTGTACCAAATGCATAAATAATAAAACACATTTTAAGTTGAAGACCTGTAGCTTTGCCAGAGTTCCCTTCATTAAGTGAACCAGGAAAAAAATTTCTTATCTTTCTGCCAAAGCAATTACAAGAAATGCTTGAGTATGTAAAGAAAAGGATAAAATTAGTCTTTAGAAAAGTATGGGAAAGTATGTGAGTTTTTGGCCAAAGAGGAATAATCAAAAGTTAAAGAGAAGAAACTAACCTTGAAGAAAGTAGACAGAAACCATTTCTGTCTCAACAGGCTGAAATGATACACAGTTGATGTAACTGGAAGATTCACTGGATAAATTAACTCTGACTACTTTTAACAATATCTAGATAGGGAAAAAAGTTTGCATGATCTCTCTCTATAAAAGACAAGCTATTTAGTGAATTTTCACATTATCTAGTGCTTGATCAATTTGGCCAAATATATACGTCCTTCTTTGTATTTAACACAAAATACTTATTTCCAGTATTGATGAAGGACCTTCCTGACTATAAAAAGAATTCATAAAGTATAAATTGTACAATAAAAATGAACTAAAAGAATGACTTATATGTTTAATGTAATAATAGCTCTTCTACCTTTTCTAAATGATAAAGATTGCCTATTTAGTTTTGTTTTTAATGTTTACTTATTTTTGAAAGAGAGAGAGGGAGAGAGACAGAGACAGAGTGTGCGTGGGGAGGGGCAGAGAGAGAGAGAGAGAGAGAGAGAGAGAGACTTCAGAATCTGAAACCGGCTCCAGGCTCTGAGCTATCAGCATAAACCCTAACATGGGGCTTGAACTCCCTAACTGTGAGATCATGACCTAAGCAGAAGTCAGACGCTTAATTGACTGAGCCTCTCAGGAGCCCCAGAGATTGCCTCCTTAAAAGAAAACATATTTAGAAATAGCTATTTTGAAAAGTGGTTAAATAATTAATTTTATGGCATTATAATTCTGTTTTATTTTGGTAGGTATTAATATGTGATAGATACAGTGAATATCTCCTATTTTAGTTGATGAAGAATACACCTCCTATATGACCCAGACATTCTACTCCAAGATAGGCCCAAGGTCAATCAACGCATATGTCTGTGCAAAGACCTGTATGCAAATGTTCATAGAGTTGTGACTGGAGTAGCCTGGAAGTGCAAACAACCTAAATGTCTTCCAACAGGCAAATGGGTCAACCAACTGTGGTGTGTGGTGGCATACTACCCAGCAATACAAATAAACTATTGTGACATACAAAAACACGGATAAATCTCAGAATAAGTGTGCTGGGTAAAACAAGCAAGATGAAAAGTGTGCATGCTGTATAATAACATATATAGAAAACTGCAGCTAACCTGTTGTGACAAAAAGCAGATTAGTGGTTGTCTAGGAATGATGGAGGCCAGGGAGAGGTGGGAGGAAGGATGGAGTAGAGTTAGCTTTGTCAAGTTTGTCTCCTTTGTCCCTGTAGACTCATTCTTCTTCTGTGTTGACTTTCTACCTTGCTGATATTGAGTTAGCTGTTGCAGTTTTATTTTTTATTTTTATTTTTTTTAAGGTTTTTATTTATTTCTAGGAGAGAGAGAGAGAGAGACAGCGTGAGCAGGAGAGGGTCAGAGAGAGAGGGAGTCACAGACTGAAACAGGCTCCAGGCTCTGAGCTGGCAGTCAGCACAGAGCCCGACGCTGGGCTCGAACCCACGAACCGCGAGATCATGACCTAAGCGAAAGTTGGACGCTTAACCAACTAAGCCACCCAAGTGCCCCTAGCTGTTGCAGTTTTAAATTTGACATCCTCACAAGAAAATATCTGGAGGAAAAGAAGCTATCTCTTCATATATAACAATCTTAAAAAAAAAATGCCTCATTTCCAAATCCCTATCAAACTTTCTGGGGGAAATGAGCTACAGTTTCTTTACTCTGTATCCAGGAGCCTTACAATGTGATTTTGCCATTGGTCCCATCAAAAGATGTTAGTTTCCTACCCATAAAATCTGGGTTTGCCTTTCGTCTTGCTTTACCCAACGGAATGCGGTGGAAGTGACTGTGTGGCCTTCAGAGCTTAGGCTTCAAAAGGTTTTTTAATGCCTTTGCTTTCTGTCTTGCAAAACTGTTCAGCTTCAACATGAACAACCTGGGCTTGTCTGCTGGATGAGAGACACGTGGAATAGAAATGAATCTTCGCAGCTGGGACCATTCTGGACCAGTCACTGATTCCCAGCAACGAGGCAGTTCACAAACATGTAATTGAACCCAGCTGAGCCAGAAGAATCACCAGCTATGAACAGCCCAAATCACCACTTCACTGATGTATGAAGTAAGTAAATGGTGACTGTTTAAAGGTACCAAGTTGGGGGTGGCTTATTAGACAATAAAAAACTAACCAGTTCACATCCTTCTCATTTTGTTGGCTTGAGAGGCAGCAGCTTTGCAAATAGATGGGCTGAGTGAGGAAGAGGGCAGAGGAGAAAAAGAATGGCTCTGTTAGGATAAAAAGGAGAGGGGTATTGGTCAGCAAATAATTGAGTACATTTTAGCAACTCATGCATTGGAATTTAAAATAGTAACTCTAGGTCAGAGGAGCATTGTGCACTATGATGAGCTTTCACTAAAGAGCAGTTACTTACAGCTCTTTGTGAACAGGGAGGAAATAATTAAATTTTGGTGGTGGTATTTGTTCAATTTAATTCTGACTCCCTCATTAGGAGGAAAAAATCTGCTTTGGGCTATTTTGCAAAACCTAATACTGGGGATTATAATTTCCTTTATGTTGTTTATGAAGATTTAACTTTACGTATCACATGAAAAAATTACCCAGCAGATGTGTGTTTTCAATAGCATTCCACAGGGCTTCTTAATATAGGGCACTTTTCAAATTGATTTCAAATTAAAGTCATTCAAAAGAGGAACAAAACTTGAATGCATATTCCCACTGCCAGAAATATCAATAGAGTGTGGGGAGACATAAAGAATAAAAGGAAAGTAAAAGATTACACTTCAGTCTATAGGAAACCTATAATTTAAGGTATCATGTCATTCATTTGCTTTCAGAAGATGTGATTATGATGGATTGTGTTTCAAAGCAATTAGAATGCTTCCATCAGCTGCATTTGTATGGCTGATTATATGAATCTTGTCAACCTTCTGGCCTGCTACATTGTCACTGAAAAAACCTGGTGAGTACTCATATACAAGCATTTTTCTATAAAGGCTATGATTATGTAGCTAAGGCGTCTCTTATTTTCAGCGTATGCCTGTTAGGATGTTTCAGTTGGACAAGCAAGATTGATGTCTCTTTAGAGCACAGAACAATAAAAGTCACAGGTCTATACACTTCGGTGTAACATAAATTCAAGCCTTGAGGGATGAGCATACATTCTCTGTGCCCATCCTTCCCCTTGAGGGTTGTCTTTTCAGATGGGAAAAATAAAGTACATCAGAATTTTTTTCCTTTAAATTCTTACAGGAGAAAAAATTAACAAATAGTTTAGGTACAGTTTTCTGCTGATAATCATCTATGTTTCTGGAAAATCCCACAGAGCATTTATCACTTTAAAACATCCAGGGAAGGGCACCTGGGTGGCTCAGTCAGTTAAGCGTCCAACTTCAGCTCAGGTCATGATCCCATGGTTTGGGGGTTCGAGCCCTGTATCGGACTCTGTGCTGACAGCTAGCTCAGAGCCTGGAGGCTGTTTCAGATTCTGTGTCTCCCTCTCTCTCTGACCCTCCTCCACTCATGTTCTGTCTTTCTCTGCCTCAAAAATAAACCATAAAAACAAAAACAAAACATCCAGGGGTTACCATAAGCTTAAATAAAATAGGAAATAAGGGTGAATGTGTGTCTGTCCAACGTCCAGGACAGAGCACCATGGGATCATCAGGATACAGGCATTTGTTCTGGAAGGTCAAGCAAGGAACTGGGGCTGCTTTACCAGAAGCCTAGTGAGAGTCAGGCAGTAAAGTAGAAACAGGGGAGACACACCACTAGGAGCACCAGTCAAGAGGGACCAGAGCGTTACACAGGGTGAATTCCAGACACAAAGCTAAGAGCCAGGATGTTACAGATATCTTGGGGACAAATTATGTTTGTAGTTTGGTCTGTTTTGAGAAGTGTATGTGTGTGTGTGTGTGTGTGTGTGTGTGTGTGTGTGTGTGTGTGTATGAGAGAGGGAGACAGAAAAAGAGGGAGAGAGAGAGAGAAGACCAAAAGTTCAGACAAACAGGAACTACAGGGTCTTTAAAAATTGCCATGGCTGGTCAACAGAGAAGAAACACAGGGTATCAACAGTAAAAATGATCTCAGTAACAAACTCTTCTTTAGTTCATCTCAGAGGGATTCATATTCTTTCTGTGAATATAAGAGTCAACAGCAAACAGGCAGAAGGGATACCGATAGGTAAGAGTAGATGAGAATGTGAACAGACAGGATGCTGGGTAAGTAAAGACCAGGCAGTTTCTGATTTAGGAGAAATCAAAGGTCACATTTCTCTTAGTTTCTCTCTCATTTCCTCTTCATCTTTTGAACCTCCCTAACCAGTGGTATCTTTCAACTTTTCCTTGATGAGTGCCTAATTTAATAATGGACTTTCTACCTTTCCTGTACCCTCAGAGCCATTAGACATTGCTAGAGACAGAAGTGAATGATTCTGTAGAAAAATGTGTATTTGGTAGCAGTGTAATATCATAGACTATTGCCATCACTGCATAAAACTTCTGTGGCTTGTTATAGCTGTTCACATTGATATTTTGTCGTTGGTGAATCAAAAGGAAAAACAAATCTTGGATGCAAGAGGCACATATGAGGTCTTCACATTGCATTGCCTAGCTTATTCCACTTATTCATAATGTTTAATTAAATTCAATAAATGCAATTTAGTCGAGTTAGGCAAATTGTTTTTGTCATGTAGATCAGGACTTATAAATAAACCCAAATGCCTTTGGGAGTCAGGCAAAACACACAAATGTGTGGGGCACTTGAGTGGCGAAGTTGGTTGTGTGTCTGGCTTCGGCTCAGGTCATGATCTGACAGTTCGTGGGTTTGAGCCCTGCGTTGGGCTCTGTGCTGACAGCTCGGAGCCTGGAGCCTGCCTTGGTTTCTGTGTCTCCCTCCCTCTTTGCCCCTCCCCTGCTCACTCTGTCTCTATTTCTCTCTCTCAAAAATAAATAAACATTAGAAAAAAAAATTTTTTTTAAAACCCCACAAAGGTGTGAGGTGACCAGGTATGAAAATATATTCACTTCTTATAGATAGGTGAACTTAATATAGATATTATATAGATATATATCTGTATGACACACACATATACGTATAGGTATATATACTTATATTATATGTTATATATAATCACCTAATGTAGATGGAGGTAATAGTTCACCAGGCATGGGAATGAACTGGAGAATAAAGTTCCTTTGAAAGCCACTCAGACGTAATTTTCTTAAAAGTCTCTATTGGTCAGATTTGATTGATGGGCCTCTAGTCAGATGAATCAAAATTCTGACAGTTACTGGAATTTCTAGCATATTCTAGTGACACATGGATATAGACTTCCATTTTTTTTAATTTTTAAAAATGTTTATTTATTAACTTTGAGAGACAGAGAGAGCCCAAGCAGGGAAGGGGCAGAGAGAGGGGGAGAGAGAGTCCCAAGCAGACTCCAAGCTGCCAGCTGTACAGCCTGATGCAGGGCTCGAACTCACAAACAGTGATATCATGATCTGAGGCAAAACCAGGAGTTAGACACTTAACCATCCAGACCCCCCAAGACTGTTCTATTTTTTTAATGGAAAAACTAGGAAAAGATAAAATATAAAAATACAGATCAGCGAAGCATTTGCCCAGCTGTATTCCATTCACTTATGATTAGCAGGATGTTTATAGGGATTACAAATCAATAAGAGCTGACTTTCTAGAATGGTAGAGACATGCAGTACACATGTACAAACACTTGTACAATATACTGTGTGACTGTGATGGGTGCTATGAAGAAAAATGAAGCACAGGAAAGGAATGATGTGTGCAAAGGGTGGTGTTGAGATAATAGTTTTCATAGGATGCTCAAGGCTCTCATGTGGTGAGCTTTGAAGCAGGCACATAAATAAGCAAAGATTTAGGAGAATGTTCCAGAAAAATAGAAACAGCTAAGTGCCTGATGCTGGTTTGAGTTTGGTTTATTGGGGGGATAATGGGAAGGCTCATGTGACTATAGCTGAGTAAGCAGAGGGACAGTTATAACACCAGATCAGAGAGTGGGCAGGCTCCATTACATAGGGCCTTGTAGGCTAGGGTAATGATTTGAGCTTTATTCTAAGACTCTGTGAAACCATGGTGATCAAGAGATGGTTCTATACTCACTTAGGTTATAAACAACACCATCTAACTGCTTTGTGTATTTGAGACTTAAGACAGCCAAGTATGGAAGCCCTGAGACCAGTCACTGTGGATGATGGGCCTCTGAAACCTCTATTGTACTTATGCTCCTTCAGCCTTATCTAAGCAAATATTAGGTGCTTTTCCAGCAGACACAGTAAGCACATAGGTATATTAATGACAAATGAGATGCTATACATTTTGAACCTAGGAAAGGATTAAATATTACCAAAGGAATGAACCTATAATTGTGGAGATGAGTGAAGGGAGAATTTTAGTATAGAAAAATCTCTTCAGTATTTCTGAGAATCCTATCATTCACCCTGACAGTTTCCAAGACCAGTTTTGGAATTGCTACTGTCTACTTTAAGTTTCTCAACTCCTTAAAGTTGAAGTACAAAGATCTGTGTATTAGGTCAGAGTTTCTCAACTTCAGTACTATTGACCTTTAGGCTGGACTATTTGATATTCACTGCTATGGGGGATGCTCTGTGTATTTTTAGGATGTTTAGGAGCATTTCTGGGCTCTACTTATTAAATGCCAGTAGAACTCTTTCTCATTGCCTCTCCCCCACAGCCCAGGCAAGACCATAAAAGGTGTTTGTTGGCATTGCCAAATATCCCTTGGGAGGAAAGTTGCCCCTGGTGGAACCAATGTATTAGATCATAGGATTCATCTGCAGAGTCTTCTAACAACTTATAAATATATTCGAACATGAGTAAGAGCACGTGGAAAGCAAACCTGTACTAGAAAGTATCCAAAACCAAAGCACTGTGGGAACCCAAAGCAGATTGCTAAGCCTTCACATCAAGGACATACTCATCTCGTTGAATCTTATCAAAAACCATTTGAACTATTTTTTACTCTAATTCAAGTGATTACAATGGCTCAAAGATAACTCAAGCAGGGAGAGGTCAAACCTGATGTCATTACCCAACTAGTAACTAGGTGGGTAGAGACCAGACTCAGATCTGCCAGCCTCCAAAGCCCATTTCTTTTCCAATACATTATACTATATTCTGCCAAGAAAACCAAGGATGTTTTTATATAGTATGATTCAGATTGTAGTTTGAAAAATTAGGTAACCATTAGCCATCTCTTTCAAAATGAATTTTTTCCTCCAAAGGATTGTGATTATTATTAACAATAATTGTTATAGTAATAACATTTTAATAACAGGTGGCATATGTGAAGGACTTAACATGTGCAAGGCGCTCTGAGAAACGTTTCATGGGTATGATTTGATTAAATCTTCATAATAACCCAATGAGCTAGATTCTATCATTATCCACATTTTACAGATAAAAATTATAATTAGGAAGAAATATTTACTAAATAAAATATTTACTAGGTAAAAGAAAATATTTACTAAATGTCTGTTCCTTTATTAAATCTTTCACATGAATTTACTCTTTATAACACTTTGATGAGGCACAAAGGATTTCTCTTTCCATTTTGCAAATGAGAAAACTGACACACAAAGACTCAAAATCTTGGAAGTTATGAAGTTGGCATTCAAATCTATCTTTGTCTGACACCAAATCTAGTGTCTAACATCATAAACATATATTGGCCTTTCCTAGTATTAGCAATACATTAAAAAATTAGGACATTTGTGAGTAGATATAAATGATAGCAAAAAGATAGCAGTAAATAGTTTCCAAGTGATTTTTTTCTTTATCATATTAAATATCTTTATAGGGAGAGAAACATCTTTCTTAGAAATGAGTTCTATCTTTGTGCAATTTTTCCCCTTTCCCCAAACTCTCCTACCTCCTCCCACCAGGGGCTCAGAGTACCTAGTGAAG